GTCACCGCCCAGCAAAGGAAAACAGCGTCCCATACTCAGGTGGCAATTGCCATAGTTCCACCTAGTCCAACAGCACGGCTGCCCTCCTTTTTGCTAAGTGTTTTCTGTCCTTGAAAGGTGGGAGAAAAATTCCCGGGGCAAACGCATTTTGACTTCACCCATTTCTCCCCAGTCCCACCCGGCTTCCCGCCCTGTTGCAGCCCCGTTCCATCCCTGCCTAGGAAAAAAGTGGAAAATAATTTTGTTCTTAAAAATAGTAACAGTCAGGGGAAGGTGGGGATCTCGAGTGACGCTGGGAGCTTAGGGACGCGAACACTTGATGAAGTGTGTTGATTAGGTGGCCAGCCTCACAGGGGCCGAGGTCGGGGCAGGCGTGTCGCAGGCGGTTGACAGCTTGGGCCACCGCTGCGGAAACGTCGGGGCGGGGACTCACCTGCCGGGCGGCGCTGCGGCCGCCTCACTCCGCCTCAGCCTTCTTCTCCTCGGACATCTCCACCGACAGGATCTGCTCGCCGGGCTCGGGGCCCGGGCTCATGCGGATCCGCACCGAGGGCTCCTCTGGCCTGGGCGTCCCCTCCTCACCTCCCTGGGGACTCCCGGGGGACGCAGGCGGCGGAGAGCGTTGGGCCGGGGGATCCAGGGGCTCCGGGGGTGTGGGCTGGTCTGGGGGTGCAGGTTGGTCTGGGGGTGCGGGCTGGTCTGGGGGTGCAGGCTGGCCCAGGGGTGCAGGCTGGCCCAGGGGTGCGGGCTGGTCCGGGGGTGCGGGCTGGTCCGGGGGCGCGGGCTGGTCCGGGGCGGCCGAGCCGGCCTCTCCAGCGGCATCCTGAGCTCTCTTGGCCTGGAATCCGGAAAGGGTGACTCGTGAGGCACAGTCGGTCCAAGGGGTCTTGAACACCTTCCTGTTCCCGCCTTCTCCCCGACCCCCGCCCCGCAAGAAGACAGCAAAGTGCGCAGGGGGCGAGATCTAGCAGATCAGCCTGAGCCGCATCAGGGCTATTTGGGAGAAACAACAGCCGCAACGGGGAAGTGCAAGGAGCAGGTTGGATTTCAGGGAGGGTCTTGGGCATGTTTTAGATCGCTGCTGCCGGGCTGGAAGGCGGGGTGAAGTACCCAGTTCAAGGGCAAAGCCCTGTCCCTGCGCTGTTGAGGAAGGCGGTGACCTGGGGGGAGCCGCCACCAAGGCCTCTGCAAAGGCTGAAACATCCTGCCCCGCCCCTTTACCTGGAGTCTGTGTTCCGGGAGGTGATGAGCCGAACTCCAGGCAAACAAAGTAAAGGGTGACGAGGGCAGGAGCCAGTGGGGCGACCTTTCTGGAGGGTCTTAAAGGTTGAGACCCTCAGGGGAAGAATGGGGCTCGGTGCCACTGGCATTGGGCAGAGCTGACCTATGTTTGGGGACTTGGTGGGCACCTCCAGCCTCTGGCCTGTGCTGCCTGCCATAGACGTTGGCCACCGTCTGTGTATCAGCAGGGAACTGGGGAAAAACCCAAGCTTCTGTGAACACCTGTGGCCCCTCCTGCTCTGTGGACTCCATCTCTGCACGAAGGAGACTGGAGAGGGAGCAGCTCCCAGAGGAGGAGGCCGCGGTGATCCTCAGCCGCCCGAGACCCACGTGAGGTGGCAGAAGTGAATTTAAAGTGAGAGCAGCCAATGTGCTTGTGAGGAACAGAGACCCCCCCACCCCAAGTCTGCCCAAGTCATAGGGTGTTGAAGGAAGGGAACAGAGAGCAGGGACAAAGATGTTCTTAGGACTCAAGGCAGCCCTGGGGACCTGCTGCTCCCCCTGTCTTGGTGTTTCTACATGTTTTAGGTGCATCTGTCCCACCCTCCTCTGTCCACCCTAAACTCTGACAATGCGCTTCCAGGGCAAGATGCTCAGATGGTGACCATTGTGACACTTCCTGAAGCCTCATGCCATGAATGGACCAGAATGGGACCAGAATGGGCAGGCTAGTAAAGTGCTTTGCCATGTTCCAAATGCTTTTACAAAAAGCATCCAAGGGTTCCTGCTTGATCTTTACAACCCCACGGGGCAACTACGAGTGATCTGGGTCTCAGAAAGCGTGAGCAGCTTCCCGGGGTCTCAGAGCTAGCAGGTGACAGAGCTGGGATTTGGACCTGTGTCTCAGGACTTCTAGTTAAGATCTCCTTGCACTCTGCCGCTCTGCCCTGGCTGTTCTAAATTGGAGGGGCAATGCCTTTTATTAGAGCACTCATGCAAATCTCATTCACGTCTCAAAGCTGCCCCAGCGAAGACCTAACGCTTAGGAGCAACAGACCCATTTCAGCTACAGCCTTTCACTGTACTGAGAGACTCTTTTTTATTATTATTTTTAAAATTTCATTTATTTATTTAATGAGATAGGGTCTCACTCTTGCTCAGGCTGGTCTCGAACCCCTAAACTCAAGGGATCCTCCTGCCTCAGCCTCCCAGAGAGCTAGGATTATAGGCGGGAGCCACCGCGCCCAGCCCCTGAGAGATTCTTGAAGTTCACGTCTACTCAGCCATTCACAGCAGCCAGGGCTAAAGACCCCACCAAGCCACTGTGACCTTGACAGTTTGTGAGCCAGGCAGTTGTGTCTTTCCTCAATTGGGGGCCATTGGTAGCTATATCTGGAGAATGTCTTGGAACCCTAAGTGGCTTTGATGTCACTCACTAAACCCCTGTTGTCAAACGACCTCTGGATGGGTCCCCTGGACTCTAACACCAGCCTGGATTGAGACTGAGTTTGTCACGTCCCTTTGAACTCTGTCATGTAGACGGTTGCCCTGCTCCGAAGAGTCCCTGCCACTGAGCCCCCACCTAACCCCAGTCCCTCTCCGCTTTCCCGGCAGCCTTCCGAAAGGACGGTCGTGATCAGACATAATTAGTGTAATCATTCTAATTGGCATTCTTGGCTTTAGTCACAGAAAAAACTCCCAGAGCTAATTTTAATGTTCCCTTTGGATTTACGGGGGCAGAGGTGGTTGGCACCGGGCCTGTCTATGAGGCTTTTCCTTTCAGATATTTTAAACTGTCACAGACACAATATTAACTATGACGCATCACTGTCGTCTGGAGAGGGACCTTCCCCTCCCACACCTTCTCCGTCCTCCTCTGCAACAGCGCCCGGGCTTCTTCAGAGATCCTCCTCGCCCCGACTCTCACTTCAGGGGTGGGCACGTGACCCAGGCCTCCCAGAGCACCACAGCCCCCTGGCCACACTGAATGGCTCAGGAGTTGGCATGTGAGCCAGTTTGGGCCAATGACGGTGAGTCCTGGGCCTTTTGCTAGAATCCCTAGGCAAGAGCACTTTCTGCTGGAGTGACTACAGCAAGAGGATATGATCCTAGAACTCTCGGGGCCTGCCTGCAAATGGAGCCATCACTGAACAAGGCGGAGATGACAGAATGGGGAACCTAGTCCCGCTGGCATCATCTGGGCTTCTGGATCCATCCTTGCCTGAACTTTTCAATTAGATGACGCCGCAGGTCCCCGTTTTCTCAGGCTAATCTGAGCTTGCACTCTATCACTGGCAACCAAATGAGTCCTGTTAGAAAGAAGCGGGGGGAAAGCCCCTAAACCTAAATGTGTGGTCCACTCTCCCAGGTCCCTCGGCCTTGTCCCTGGCAAGTACCTGACGTGGCAGGGTGGCTGGGTCCCGACCGCGTTACCTGTTCCAGCAACTCTTGCTGTTTGGCGGCCGCCTCCAGCGCGGCCAGCTCTTTGAGTCGAGCCCTGAGGTGGGCCAGCTTGCCTCCTTTCCCCGCCTTGCCCCCCATCTTTCCGGTCGCAGCAAGGGCAGTGCTGAAGAGCTTCGGGGTGCCCGCCCGGGGTGGAAGGATGAGCACGCTCTTCTCCTCCTTGGGCTTGTTGTTACTCCTCAGCATGCGCCTGCAAGACAGTGGCATCCACTTACGTCACAAGCTCGTTTGGGGAGGAGCTCGAGGAGGAAAGGAAATCTCGTTTATGGAGAATTCTCTGGCCAGTGATTTCCCAGGGCTTTTCCTAGACCAAGTGCAGAGCTGAGTGCTTTACGCGCAGTATCTCATCAAATGATCAGAACAATGTAATGAGTGGGTCTCAATGTCTGCATCTTAAAGATGAGGAAACTGAGGCTCAGAGAGGTTGAGGAACTTGTCTAAGATCACACAGGGAGGAAATTCCAAAGGGCATTTTAATATATGGAATCAGAAATAAGATGCCTAGATGAAAAAGGACCCAAAGGTTTTTCCTTCTCCTTCTGCTTTATTGTCACTTCCCTGTCATCACCATCACAGTTATCAGCACTTACTGAGTGTCCATATGTGTCAGGCCCTCTGCTCTGTCCTTTACAGCCACTCTTTGGTGGCCCCCATAATCCCCCCTTCCTGGTGTTCATGCTTCTGTGTCACCTCCTCCTCTTCAGAATGAGTGGGACATGGGACTTGCTTTTAACCAACAGAGTACAACAAGGGACATCATTTGTGTGAATGTCACATAGGATGGTGATCTCTGTCTCGCAAGGAGACTCCCCCTGCCGACTGTGATGAAGCAGGCAGCCGTGCGGAAGGAGGCCCACGTGGCAAGAACCCGAGGGCGACAACTAGCTAGGAACCGAGGTTCCCAGTCCTACACCTCAAGGAACTGAATTCCACCAACAAGCATGTGATCTTAGAAGCGGGTCCTTCCCCATCAAGACTTGAGATGAGGCCGGGCGCGGTGGCTCACACCTGTAATCCCAGCACTTTGGAGGCCAAGGAGTTCACTTGAGCCCAGGAATTCGAGACCAGCCAGAGCAACATAGTGAGACCCTGTCTCTACAAAGAGTAAAAATAAAAAATCTAGCCAGGTGTGTTGGCACACACCTGTAGTGCTAGCTATTCAGGAGGCTGAGACAGGAGAATCGCTTGAGCCCAGGAATTTGAGGTTACAGCGAGCTATGATGACACCACTGCAGTCCAGCCTGGGCAACAGAGCGAGACTCTGTCTCTTAAAAACAAAACAAAAAAAAAGACTTCAGATGAGACCCTGCTCTGGCTGACACCTTGATGACCTAGCTAGGCTGTCCCCAAACTTCTGACCCAATCCTCATAAGTAGGTCTTATTATTCACCCTCATTTCCGAATGAAGATATGGAAGTCCAGAGGAGGTGAGTAACTTTCCCAAGGCCACATAGCCAGGAAGTGGAATTCAAACCCACACATCTGACCCCAGCACCCCAGATCCTAATGACCACAAAGGAACATCGTGGCCATTGTGTTCTCGGATGCTGGCAATACTCCTGTGACATCAAAAAGTCTGGGATTATTGTGGCTCTGACAGTTGGTGAAACTGAGGCTCAGAGTGGGGAGAGTGACACGTTCAAGGGTACCAGGAAGTGGCAGAGGCAGAATTACAACCCAGATATGATGCAATGTTCCACCCTGTTTCTCTAAGTAAGGATAGAATTTTCCATCGAACAGAGTCCTAGCCTCTTACAGGGAATATTTCACTCTACAACCATGTGATGAGTGGTTTGGCTCAAGAACAAATGAATTTCGCCTGCAATCAGCGAGCTTAGACAATGAATTGGCAAATTCATTCATCAGGTTCCAGCAAAACTTATTTGTTTAAAAATGAGGCCGTTCCTGGCTGCTCATCTAATCAGAGGCAATGGGTTTAAATTGTGTATATTGATATTAATCGCCCAGGATTTGCACTGCCTAGCTGGGGCTCCCCCGGGAGAACACAAACATGATTCATCAGAGGCCTCTTACACGCCAGCCAGGCACAGTCCCTGTGTTATTTGAGTCCATAATTCACAGCGTGACAGCCGAGCACTGTCCCCATGTTATTTGAGTCCATAATTCACAGCGTGACAGTCCACAGGAAGGCTCAGCGTGGTGCTAAAATGACACAAAAGAACTATCTCATGGACGTTTGCTGATTGCTAATGGCTGTCTCTGTTTTGAAACACTGAACTGGCTTCTGGGACATTTCCAGGTTAGGGAAATTTATCCTCATTTTCAGATGATGTATCTTCCCTATAATTAAGATAAAACAGTTGACCCTGGGGCAAGTGACATGCATAAGACCTCATCATCCCCCTTTTGGAGTGGCCAAGACAGAGATCTGAGCACTTCACTGTTTGGGGCCTCGGGTCCCCCATCTGTAAAGGTCGGGGATCGCACAGCACAGAATCCCACACGTGGGCCCTCTGGTTCTCAGAGGTGTCTCTCCCTTGATGAGCAGGACTCACACATGATCCCCAGTCTATCTGGCCCAGCCTGCCCCAGTCCCAGGCCCTCTGTGCTGCAAGGCCCATTAGCTCCGCCCCCTTCTCCCCTCCCCCCTCCTATGCCACGGCCTTCTCCAGCACGGGGCGCCAGGGCACTGTCAGGAATGGGGTCCAATGCACTGCTCTCAGGACGGCCCTGCAGGGTCCCAGCTGACTTGCCAAACCCTCACCTAACCCACCCAGGGGGATGGAATGACAGCCATGAGCATGGATTTCCTGAGCCTCGTTCTTCTTGAGGGTGGCAGGGAGAGAGGATGGGGAGACCTAGTGCTGGTTTTCAGACATAAGCAGTTGCAGCTCACGACCCGCAGTAATTTCGTTCTCTGTGAACACTGAATCAGCAAATACCGAGACATTGCTCCTGGGGGAAATGCAGGGCTGGGTTTCTGCAAGCCTGTCATCACCATAGTCACCATCCCATTAACACATAAACTCGTCTTGTGTGTGTTTCTGTCTAAAGACATCTTAGTTAACATCATTGTTGCTTCATTAACATCGAACGCACAGCCAACAGCACAATTCGTGCCCGAGCGAAGCTTATCTGACACGAACATTTTCTGGGTCAGGCACATCACAGCCTTCTTGTGCTTAGGAACATGAAGCACTTCAGCTCTGTGTTGGGGGCCATTTTAAACAGTGAAATCACCAACGAAGTGCACAAATATGAGGAAAATGTGGCATTAAACAGACCATGAGAAGACACCTGTTTACTGTACGAAAGCCGTAGAAGGCAGAGCTGGGACCTCAGCTGGGAACATGCACTCCAGGTGACTCAAATTATTCGCCACTCTGTGCATGTCCACAAAAGCCTGTAAGCATCGAGTCTGGGGTCACGAATGCACGTTAGTGAGGAGGTGAATTGGCAAGCATGGAGTCGGTGAGTAATGACGATCTACTCTACTTCCCTGTCCCCGGGAAAGGAGGGGCCGGCACTCAGCGGATGTGAGAGGGAGCGTGGGCAGGTTTTGTGGGAATACTTGGCATAGACTGGCCTTTGGAAGGCTCCAGTGTAGTCCCTGAGAGCGGCCAGGTGAGATGAGTTAGAGGGCAGCTTTCTTCCCCAGGGTACCTCAGCGCCTTGCGTGTACGATACTGGAATATCAACACTATGGAAGCTGCCAAAGGGATCTTGTGAAAATCTGATTCACATCAAGTCACTCCTCTGTATAAAACCCTGCATGGCTCCCATCTCCTTCCAAGTAAAAGCCAAAGCCATTACAGCCCTTGTCTGCAAGGCCCAGCCCAATCTCTCCCCCTCGACTTCTCTGATGCCACAACAAGCAACGCCAATTTTCTTGTTGTTCTGCCACCCACACACTGAGCCTGCTCCTCCTCAGGGGCCTTGCACATGCGGTTCCCTCTGCCTGGAAAGCTCTTCCCTGCAGACAGTCCCCCAGCTCCCTCCTTCACTCTGTGCAGGTCTCAGCTGAAATGCCACCTCTTCAGAACAGCTTCCCTTGACCTGCTTAGCGCAAATATCTCCCTCCATCACCTCTTTCTCCTCGAGTGGCTTTGTGTCTCCCCATAGCCCTCAGCCCCCGCTGACACATCACATAATCATTCATTTTTCCATTGTCAGTTTCCTGAGTAAAATGTCAGCTTTGTTTGGTCCCTCCGTGCCCCCAGGGCCTAGAACTAGAATTGTGTACTCGATAAATTACTGCGTTGTATGCATGGGTGTTGGCGAGTGTGTTCCCGTTATTATGACCATAACAATTGTGGTTTATTTATGGCATCATTTCATAGAGTGAAGTGGAGAGCAAGAATATGCGATAAAAGGCAAGGGAGGAAAAATCAGATGTGTGGATTAAAAAGGTCTTACCCAATTGAATTACAGAGAGAATTTGGTGGATAAAGAGGAACAGTGATCATTATTAGCATGTATCGAACTCTCCCAGATGCCAGGTGCCCCACTGCAGACATTCCTGCCCACTATTTTATTTAATCTTCACAACAGCAAAGGAGAAGGTTAACACCTTAATTTTACATAGTTGAAAACTGAGACCAGAAAAGTTAAGTAACTTTCCCAAAGCCACACAGCCAGTACCTCCTGTGGAAGATCTGAGCCCCGCCAGTCTCCCACGCCTATGGTGAGTGTCCTATCACATCGTGCCGCCTCTGTTGCTCAGTTTGAAACCTGATCTTAAGGGTTCAAAAGCAAAAACCTACTTTTCTTAAAAAAAAAAAAAGAGTTACCTGTTCCCCAATAATGCAAAATACAGATGCACAGGTGCGTTGTAGCACTGTTTGTAATTGCGAAATGTTGGAAATACCCTAAATGTCACAGGAATGCCCTGCAACTAGGGAAAGGAATGAGGACGCGGTCTGCGGACGGACAGAAAATGATTTCCGGGATTCGTTGTCAATGTGAAAAAAAGCAAAGTACAGAAAAGAATCTCTAGTATGCTACCTTTTGTGTAAGAAGCAAGGGGTAATATGAAAATGTTCACAGATCCGCCTATTTGTGCAAAAGGAAACACAGGAAGAAAAAGGAAAAAACATGAACTAACGAGATTGGTCACCTATAGAGGGTGGGTGACAACAAGGGCAGGGAAAGTTGGGACACTTTTCTGAGTAGACCATTTCGTAGAGTTTTGACTTCTGGAAACGTGTTAATGTTTTACATACTCAAAACAACGACAACAACAAAATCAACAAGGATCTGTGGCCGGGGGAGCCCCAAAATAAAATGCAAACTGAAACAAACGAATATACCTGTATTTTGCAATAACCGCATTAAGGGGAAGAGGGGTGAGAACGAATGCGAATAGCTTGAACACAATTCCGCACTCGGACTGAAGACACAAAGAGCCGCATCCAGTGTGGAACTCCACTTAGAAGGCTTACTTTTTTTTTTTTTTTTTTACAGTGGTATGGGAATTCTGAAACTGTGTTTGTCAGTCTTGGAGGGATTTACAAGTATGGAAAAGGAGAGGATAAGAACGAACTCTGTGCTGTTGGACTGGAATTGTTTTATAGATAGATCGATCAATAGGTAGACATGGACAGAAGAATCAGTGTTGACATATACATGTATATGTGCGTACAGATATGTCTTAATATGTGTATACTTGTATTTATACATACAGGTAAGCATGTGGGTGTGTTTCTTAGGTCTGCCCCCGAGGAGGCCTAGTCGCACCCCAGCAGCAATGAATGCACCCAGGACTCGGATCTTGGTTTCTAAAAACCATTTCCCACTAACAGGAATCAAGGCTCCTTGGAGAAATGGCCATGTCCAGGGGCGCAGCAGGGAAGATGAGGGCAGGCAGAAAAGAAAATTAAAAAAAAGAAAGCTATCAAAGTCACTACTGGGACAATCAGCAAATCTGAAGGTGGATTAGGGATGAGATGAAAGAGCTTTGTTCCAATACCACATTTCCTGATTTTGATGAAGGTACTGTGGGTGGGTAAGAGGAAGTCCTTGTCTTCAGCAATCTTTTTTTAACTGAAAAAAAAGTTACATACCTGGCCTTCTTTCGGAGCAACTTCTGAGACTCAGGATAATGCACCAAAATTTCGTTCAGGTCCTTCTTATCGAGAATGAAGAGGTTGGCAAAGCCGTGGGCCACCACGTTAGCTGTGCGCCGATTCCCGCCCCCAACCGCCAGCAAGCTGCGCAGAGAAGGGAAGGGTGAGACCCTTCGGAGGCCGCACTCCCCCTGCACAGCGTGGCCCCACGCAGGTGAGAGCCTGCCCCTCCGTGCATCAGCAGGTGCCGGTGCCAAACCACACCACCTTCCTCCGTTCCACCCACAGGCCACCCCCACCCTCCCCTGCCCCCTCCCTGTCCCCAGCCTTGGCCAGGGCCCCTCATCTTACCCCAGCTCCCCCCTGACCTTATCTCTCCAAACACAGATCCAGCTTTTAGCGTCACCAGCACGGATGTCCCATCAGGGCCGCCCAAAACCTGCACCTGCCCCGCCTGGATGATGTACATCTCGCGGCCAATCTCCCCCTGAAACAGAGAAGCCGGCGAGTCCCTCTGCCCATCCCCCAAAGCCACCAGAGCAGCAGCCAGTGCCGGGCCCGGAGGCTGGAGGCCCAGCAAGGAGGAACCCAGGCTGGGCGCTGGCCCTGCCGCCATGACGTGGTGTATGGTGTGGGGCCAGTCGCTTCCCTGCCGGGCCTCAGTCTCCTCATCTGCGCACTGGGCAGAGTGACCACCCCTTGCCCTGCCGAACTCACAGGACTATGGTGGGGAGTTAGTGGTGTCATGGAACAAGTCACCTGGGAGGTGCAGGTGTATTCCACAAGTTTCCAATTAGCCCCACGTGCAGGCATGGCACACCCAGTAGTGGTCCACACCATAAACTCCTATCCATGCGTAGCACTTACCAGGAGCTTGGTAACTGCGACAGGAATGATAACAACAGCAACAATGATAAAGTCCAGCAGGTCCATAACATTTTTTCTGGGCCAGGCACTCACTGGTCTAATTGCTTTATGTGATTACACCCACCTAATTCCCAACAAGCCTCTGAGGCAGGATTACTCTCTGCCCAAGGTCACAAATTTAGGATGAGGCAGAGTGGGATTTGAACCCAGACAATCTGATTCCAGAGTCCATGGTTGTTATGGGTTGAATTTTGTCCCCGCCCCAAAATTCATATGTTGAAATCCTCATCCCCAGCAACATTTTGGTAACAGGGCCATTGCAGACGTCACAGCTTTAATGAAGATGTAGTCATCCTGGAGTAGGGTGGGCCCCAATCCAGTATGACTGGTGTCCTTATAAAAAGGGAAATTTGGACACACAGATAGGCATAGAGGGAAGATGATGGGAGGAGACACAGAAAAGTGGCCGCCGCAAGCCAAGGGACAGTTGTGCTGTATAATGGCAGCCCTAGCAAACCAACACAGTGGTCTTAATCCCACATTAAGCTGAATGAATGAATGAATGAATGAATGAATGAATAGCTCGCTCTGGACTGCAATCAGAAACACCCAGTCTGCCACGTGCCTTCCCAGACTCACGCCCTCATAGGCCCCTGCACTGGCCCACTACCTGTCGGCCACCCCTGGCGTGGTTAAAAGGGGCAGAGACCTGATCACAGAGGAGGTCTACAGAAAATATAATAAATAAAAAAATTTTAAAGGTGGGTAGAGAGCAAGGACGGTAACTTGGTTACACTTTTGATTTATTCAACACACATTTCCTGTGCATCTCACACGTGCATGGCCCTCTTAACAAAAAGGAGGACGGTTTCGTCTGTTTCTGTGCACAGAAACAGCAGTGGGAGGGCGGGGGGACCCTCACCTCACTGGCCAGCCCCCTCGCTGTCTCAGAGAGGTTGTTGCGGAGCAAAACTGGACAGCAGAGGGCGCTGTTCACACGCGCTCACCAAGTGCTCAATTTAACTTGCAGACTCCCTGCCCAACGCCTGGTTCACCTTTTCTCATCTAAAGCAAACGCTACGTTACCCACGACGATGACAGCAACAGCGCCTGCACCTATTCTGTGCCAGGCACGGTGCCAAACTGTATGCACGTCTTATTCAATCCTCACAACTATAAATATCCCCACTTTACCCATGAGAAGAGCAGGACTCAGAGAGGGTAAGCCACGTGCCCACGGCTACACAGCGAGGAAGTGGCTCCAATGACAGAAAAGTCACTCTATTGTTCCCAGACCCCTCTTGGCCTCCCTAAGACTGCAGCTTTAAATTCTCAGCCATCTGCAGCATCTTTTCTCCCTCTTCCCCTAGCTCTCTGCTTCCAGAAACTTCACTGCTGCATAGCATAGAGCCTGGAGACAGAGGCCTTCCAGAGACGGGGGTTTCCAAGTCTCACAGAGCCTGCCTGGGCAATATCGTCAGCCCTGTTCACACTCCCAGCCTCTTTTATTAGGGGGCGCCCGGATTTGAACCGGGGATACACCCAGCCTCGTTAACAGCTGTGTACAAGAGCACTGAGACTTGGGTTCCTGCCCCCCACCCCCTCCCCTTACTCACTGAGTGACTTTGGCCTCACCTGGGATGCCAAGGACAGGGAGCAGAAAGAGCTCTAGACACTGTTGTTCTAGAGTCAGTGGGTGGTGCCAGGCAGGGAAGGGAGCCTGGGGTAGGGCAGTGGGCAGCGGTGGGGCCTGTGGCATCAGGAGAGGGCACGATGCCCCCCATGGGGCAGCCCTTCCTGCACTGCAGCTGGCTCTCGCTATTTGGGAAAGTGGGACCCCTGTGAGCAGATTTGCTGTGTTCAGCAGAGATCTGGATCTTTATGTGAAACCTTCCAATGTTTAAAGGTTGGGGACTAATTCCACTCTTTTTTTTAAAGATTAGAAAAAAAACCCACAAAATATCTGGGGGCTGGATCTTACCCAAGGGCCACCAGTTTGCAGCCTCTGACCTTGGCCCACTCCGTTCCTGATGGGAAGACCGAGACCCTGGAAGCAGTTCCACCTGCACGGTCAAGGCCCTGCCCCTCTTCAGGCTCCTCGGTTTCCCTTTCTGTACGGTGGGGGTCCTCATCCAGACCCCCGTGGTCCCAGGTGGAGAGAGCCGTGGAACTGCTTTGCGAAGCCCGAGGCACATTTGTGTTCGCTGCCTAGAGCTGATAAAGCCTCCTAATCCGCTGCGGGGCCAGGACACCGGTGCATGGAGCTGCAGCCGCCTCTCTCCCTCCCCAACAATCCTGCTCTGCCTGGGCTTGCCAACCTCGCTGGGCCTTCACCCGTGCCCCCTCCAGCCCAGCTCCTTGCAAGGCAGGGGGGGTTGCAAATCCCAGATGCCCCTGCAGCCGCCTCACCTTCTTGCACACGTAGTCATTGGGCAGGTAGACGACAGAGCGAAGCCTCTTCAGCATGTCAAAGATCATCTGCCGGTCACAGCCCTGTCCCGAGAGGAGGGGAAAGGAACTGTTTAGAGGGAGGTTTGGGCTTGGAGCCCCGCGGAGCGCCGAGGGTGAGGGCGCTGGCGGGTGTACCTGAAAGAGCGCCACTTTGCTAACGATGTTGTAGTTCACATCGATGGCCAGGTCCAGCCGCATCTTGTCCGGAAGCTGCACCATCAGCTCTGACTCATCTGTGAACAAGACCTGGCAAGGGTCAGAGGCAACCGAGCCCCTCTCCACGCGCACATACGGCAAGGCCCCCCTGCACTGCTCACCTGGACACACCATTCCCCTGCCACATGGAACCACCCTAGATGCAGAGAGAGTCCTCACCTCCAGCCCTTTGCCGATACCGTTTCCTCTGCCAGAAACACCCCTGCGCACTTCACCGACTAACTCCTACTCATTCTTCAGAACCAGCACTAATGTCACCTCCTCCAGGAAGCCTTCCCTTGACATCTCCCACCCAGCTACTGTTAGCAGCCCCTGTGCCCCAGCTCTTATCACAGCCTTTATGGCAACTGTTGGTGATCCGTCTTCCCCACTCACACTGTGAGAACAACATTGGCTAGAACTCAACTCTACCAAAGGCTGGGTATGGTGGCTCACGCCTGTAATCCCTACCCTCTGGGAGGGTGAGGTGGGAGGACCACTTGAGCTCAGGAGTTCGAGACCAGCCTGAGCAAGAGTGAGACCCTGTCTCTACTAAAAATAGTAAATAATTAGCCAGGCGTGGTGGCGTGTGTCTGTGGTCCCAGCTACTCAGGAGACTGAGGCAGGAGGATTGTTTGAGCCCAGGAGTTTGAGGTTGCAGTGAGCTATGCTGATGCCACGATACTCTAGTGTGGGCAACAGAGTAAGACTCTGTCCCAAACATATATAGAAAAATAAAAAAGAAATAAAAAGTAAAGTCTATCAAGCACTTCTACAAGCTGGGCACTTTTTTACTAAGTGTTTTACAAAGATGATTTTATTAAATCCAGGAACCCAAGAGATACCCACCGCTACAATCCCTGCTTTACAGATGAGGAAAGGGCAGTCACTTGCCCCCAGCCATGCAGCACAGCGGGGTGGAATCACGATCCCACCCGAGCTGTGTGGCTCCAGCTTCAGGGCAGCAGGGGCTAAGACTGGCGCGCCCACCGTGGGGTCTGCAGTGCCATGAATGAATGAATGAATGGCTCCAGCTTCAGGGCAGCAGGGGCTAAGACTGGCGCGCCCACCGTGGGGTCTGCAGTGCCATGAGAGACAGACAGGGTGGACGAGGGAGAGAGAGGTAGGGGAGAGTGGAAGAGAGGGAGGAGGGGGGAGGGAGGGAGAGGAAATACTGAAAGATTTTCCTTCTTTCCTGACTTAAACTGTGCTTCCATCTTTGCTGGGGATGCACTTCAGGGTGGGTGCAGTGAGGCGGGCGGGCCCCAGAAGACAAGTCCCTCATTCTTCAGGGGTCTTGTGCCCGCCCAGCTTGAAGCACATCATGGGCCTCGCTGGGCCCCTCTCACATAAATTTTGGGGCCGCAGCCTCAGGGACACAGAGCATGAAGGAGGCCCCAGAAGGCCTCCAGGGCACCAGGCAACCAGAGCTGGCTGGGGCCGGGGTCGGAGAGGAGTCTTACCCAGCATGCCTTGCGATTGCCAAGTGTACTCGTACCAGGTCTTGACGCGGTTCTGCACGGACTTGGGGATCTTGTAGAAGTTCATGTACTTCACCGTGCTGTCCATGCAGCTGCGGTAGTAGGTCTGTCCTGCGGTGGCGGCCCCCACCACGTCTCTCATCTGGGGGAACATGTTAGGCAGGTCAAGGAAGCCACTGGGCCAGAGTGGGGCCACTCAGTGGGTTTGCGGACACGTCACTTTACACAGACCAGGAGCAGGTCTCATGGAAGTGGGGGGGGGGTGCCAGGGGTTGGGGAGAGGAAGGCAGATGTCCATGCACAGAGAAGGTTTTACTGACAGGAAGTTCTGCCTCCAGAGGAGTGAGACTGCCGGCCCCTGGGGTGGCTTCAGCTCCCTGGGACCAAACAAGGAGGGAACAGCTTGCTGGGCTGGGCTGATTCTGGGACAGCATGGCCCCTTGGTGTCTAACGCTGGAGGAAATATGGGCCCAGTGTACTGTTCCTCAGGGTGGGGCCCTTCAAAGGCAACTTTGAGGACCCCCAATTGTCGCTTCATGCACCGACTGGAATAGAAGATGCTGCCCCAGCATGTCAGAAACACCAGGGGTTTCTTTCAAAGGGAGCAGCCCAAATCCTTAGCCTTTGCAGAAAACCATTCAGCCCAGCTCATGCAGACACCCCGAAGGGACGGACATTTCAAACGGGAATGACCTCAGAGAGGGAACGGGAAGCGTGCAGGGTCCAGGCTCTTTCCCAGGCTTAGTCCAAAGGAACAGGCACAGAGGGTGACCTTCCTGGCAGTAGCAGGAGGGGACCCTACAGTCAGGTGGGAGAGAAGCCAGCCTGGCGCCCCAGGTACCTGTCCAATCATCACAGAGAAAGCAAAGACGCCCGTAAAATAGTTCAGCCCCTGGAAGATAATTTCAAAGAGTGTCCTGGGGTCAGGCAGCCCACCAATGGTGATGAGGGTCTTCACAGCAAAGTAGTAACAGCGAATGTAACTGGAGAGAGAAGAGAAAAGCATCTCGGTCACCAGAGGCCCCGATCTGCTGACCCTGGGTGTCCTGGCTCAGACACCCCTGATAGATGCATATTGTGCAAAAGGCAGAGACGCTTTATAGCCCATAAATGCAACACAAACTCTCTCACACGTGCAGAGCATGCTGCAGTTTGCAGAGCAGCTGTCTGGGTTGGTCGTGGATCTCACCCAACCCTGCAGGGACATGGTATCATCCTCATTTACAGATGTGGAAACTGAGGCCCCAGGAGATTTCTAAGAAGAGTTGGCAGGAGGATAGAGCAGGGTCTCTTGACTCCTGCTGGCTGGGCTCCTTCAACGTTCCTGTAATTGACATTGTCTTTCCCTTTGCTATTCCCTGTTGCGTTGGTTCATGGAAAGCAAGAGAATCATCAGACTAGGAAGATATCTTGAGGACCAACTTTTCTGACCCTCTCCCTTGCCCGACCATTTTCCAGACAGGGAAACCGAGGCCCCCAAAGGGAAAGGGGACACCCACGGTCACCAGCTGGCAACTTCCAGAGCTGGGACTAGAACCCAGGGTGCTGTCTGCTTCTCTGAGCTGTCATCCTGCCATCAGTAACCCCCTGACACAGGCTGTGACCCTTCAGGAAGGGAGGGTATGGGTGATGGGGTCCTACTGTGAGGTGAAAGGCATACAAAATGCCCCAAGTGCTGAATGTGGTCTGACTGTGACCCCCAGAATTCATGTGCTGGAAACTCAGTTCCCAATGCAATAGCGCTGGGAGGCGGGGCCTTTGCCCTCACGAATAAAGCCCATTATAAAAGGGCTTGACAGAGGGAATTTGATCCCCTTTTACCCTTCTGGCCCTTCTGCCATGTAAACACAGCATCCCCCCTCCACGGGGTGCAGGAACAAGGCACCGTCTTGGAAGCAGAGACTGAGCCCTTAACAGACACCGAACCTGCCCGCACCTGGATCTTGGACTTCCCAGCCTCCAGAGCTGGGAGAAATACATTTCTGTTCTTTATAAATTACCCAGCTTCAGGTGTTTTGTTAAATTAATAGCAGCACAAAATGGACTAAGACACTGAGCTTGTCTAATTATCACAAAGCAGCAAGAGTCCCTCACACACCTGTTCACACCTTCAGGCTGAGCCCTCCCCGAGGTGAGCAAAAGGGTGGCTTTTCTGCGCCTTCCTGGGCTCCGTTCACCAGCTATTTACGCAGCGTCGTAAACAGGACATGGGCTCTGGAGCCAGAATGCCAGGGCTCAAGCCCTGCTCAGCCACTTTCTAGCTTCACAACTTGGACAAATGACTCAATCTCTGCAAGCCTCAGTCTCCTTCCTCATAAAGTGGGGCAGGCAACAGAATACCCTCCCAGGCGACCATGAGGACAAAACGAGATGCTAGAAGAGCGCCTGGTACGCGGTGGGCTCTCAGCAAGCCGGCTGTCAAAGCCTTCACCATCACGGGTGCCTGCCACATGCCTGCAGTGCGGAAGGGGACAGACTCGCGCACGTCCTCAAGAAGCCGGCTGTCCAGCGGGGACAGGCTACTAATGTGCGACGAGTACTGGGAAGAGGAAACAGCGGTTGCTAGGGAGTGGCGGGGGCGGGGCTTGGGCAGGATGGGGCCTCCCTGCCTGTGCTTATCACCTGTTGCCGGCAAGTTTCAGGACAAGGCAAGACTGGCCCGGCCGCTCAAGCCCTGACATACTAGTTCTGGCCACTAGAGGGCGCATGAAGCAGCCATTGACAGAGTAGCTCCCAAGCCTGTGATGCAGGTGCCGCTGGGCCACCAACAGAGAGGACACAGGAGCAATGCCCACAAATCTCTGGCTTCTCCCCAGATCCTGGTTGAAAGCATCTTCCGTTGTCACGACACATCTTAGGGGCCTCCCTAAAGTCCCGGTATCCCATGCTACTGGGTCTGTGGGGACCCCCCATGCCGAGTCTGAGCAGAAGCAGGGCAGGAGGGGCCCGGAACAGGATGTGGGACCAAACGCACACAGGGACTTGAGGCCTTGAGCCCTCCACAAATGGTGGCTTTTTCAGAGCGGTTATTTTTCACGCGACTGGACTTCTCAAGAATTCTCCTTCGCTACTTGTACTGTGTTTCCTGTGTTGGGGTTCCCTGCAGGACGGCATTTGGAAGAGTATTGCTGCCAAGAAAGGGCGCCCTCCTACTGCGCGGCAGCCAGAGCCCCTCCCCAGAGGGCCCTGCAGAAGGAGGTCCCAGCCAGTTGTCGCCTGTCCTCCCCTCCCCTGCTTGTCGTCCTTCCCAGGGCTGCCCAGTGGCAGTCGAGCCAGGCTTAGCCCCAGGGAGGACAGTTCTTAGTTCACTGGGGCACAAACCCCTTTGAGAACCTTAGGAGAAAGCTAGGACCCTTTCCCTAGAAAAGCCAACATATTATCAAAATTTAGTTCCAATTTCCAGGAGGGGTCGTAACCCCTTAATTCTCTCTGCCCCAGGTTACGAACTCCTTTCCCGGCATGCTGGCTTCCCCACAACAATAACCATAGCTAGGAAGTGGGGCCTCCTGTCCAGGAATGGTATGGACATGTGACACAGATTAATTTATCATTCCTTGTAAGAAATATGAACATAATACCACCCCCATTGTGCAGATGAGAAAACTGAGTCTCAGAAAGGGGAAGGGCGTTACCCAAGGTCACGGAGGTGGATTTGATGCAGAACTTGTGTTCTCCCCTTTGCATAGAAGGGGCTTCAAGTTCCCTCCCCGCCCCCTTGTGAAGGGTTGAAAGAATGAATGAGTGAATGAATGAAGGGTCTAATCACGGGCTCAGGAGCAGGGCTATGGATGGATCCATCCAAGGGGAACAGGGTGCAGGGCCACGGATGATGTGGGAGAGCGTTGGGCCCTGACCCCATCCCCGACACACTCCACCTGACAGTGGAGCCAGGAACTCCCCTCCTGCCTGCCAGGCTGCCCTGGTCTCTGGGACAGCTCTATAAAGGTGTGGCTCGCCCTCAGGCCACAGGCTCATTGCAGAAGGTGACAGACATGGCTGTGGTGGCCGAGGTTGGGGCATCCATACTGGGAAGGGGACATTCTGAACAAATAACCACTGTATGAAGAAGCCACCTTGGACGTGAGGGCCCCCACCTGTTCTGTGCCCACTGGAAGCAGGTACTTGGAGGCAGACATGGCGTTGACAGCTGGGCCGAGAGCATTTTGCATCACTGATGGGCACATCCCAGAGCGAGGCAGGGCCTACCTGAGGTGACTAACTCACCACTAGACCCTTCCTTCCTCCTCCTCCTCAGTACATGGCTGACTGAGTGCCGGCTGTGGCCTGGCACTGGGGCAGCGACTCAGACACATTGACTCCCCAGTTACCTCTTGGACATGTGAGTCCCATTTTCAGCCCCATTTTGCAGGCGAAGAAACTGAGGCCCAGAAAAGAGAAGTGACCTGTTCACTGCTGACAGGTGGCATCTGCTCCAGGAGTCAGGCCTGGGCCTCCTTGTCCCTAAAGCCTTGCTGTGACCCTCCAGACCCAGCCCTGCTCCTCACCCCACGTGCTTCTCTTCCTCCCACGCCACCTACCCTCCCCAGATCAAGCCAGTCCTTTGTCTGGAGGGGTTTGCTGCTCTGCCTGACATAGCGGAGTCCCCTAGGTGCTTGTCTGCTTCCAGCCCTCCTCCCGCCCTCCTCCCATCAGCGAGAGGGTGACCTTTCCGAGAGCCCCTCCCTCTGGTCACTCTCCTGCTTAAAGGCTTTGACAGGCAAGGGAGGTCGCTTTCAATAGGAGGTCGCTTTAAGGCTTTCAATCCAGCCTTAAAGAGAAAGCGGTGCATATATGGAAACTCTTTCTACTTTCAGGAAACCTAAAACTGCTCTAAAAAAATAAAGTCTGTCAATTAAAGTAATTTAAAAATACTTAAAAATGTTTGTACCCTTGGCCCTATTACCACTCTTGCAAGAAGCTATTGTGAGGAAACAGGCCCCAGGACAAAAATTCCAGGACAGAGATGCTCACTGCAGCGTCAGAGTGAAAACTTGGACACGCCCATGCGGCTGCCACGACGCGGGATGGTGGGGAACCAACAGCGTGGTTTTAAAGAACTTGATGACAAGAACATGTACAGAATATTATGCTATTTTGCTTCCTTATCGGTGACCTATTTTTTCACATTTTAACATTTCTAAAACCAGGATGTGTCTTACAATTCATGTGTATGCTTTTGTTTTTGTTTTTTTTTTTTTTTTTGAGACAGAGTCTCACTCATTTGCCCCGGCCGGCTAGAGTGCCGTGGCGTCAGCCTAGCTCACAGCAACCTCAAACTCCTGGGCTCAAGCAATCCTACTGCCTCAGCCTCCCGAGTAGCTGGGACTACAGACATGCGCCACCATGCCCGGCTAATTTTTTCTATATAGATTTTTAGTTGTCCAAATAATTTCTTTCTATTTTTAGTAGAGACGGGGTCTCGCTCTTGCTCAGGCTGGTCTCAAACTCCTGACCTTGAGCGATCCACCCGCCTCGGCCTCCCGGAGTGCTAGGATTACAGGCATGAGCCACCGCGCCCAGCCCATGTGTATGTTTAATGTAACATTCATTTTTTTTCCAAAAAGCTGAATTGACGTGATGCTGTGTCAGATAATTCACTGCATCTTAGAGTCAGAGAAATATAGCAGACTATGTTCCTGATCTTTCTTTTATAATCAGAAAAATATCCATATTTATATATGACATCATGTGTACAAATATGTCCATACGTATACATGTATATACATATATATGACAAAGAACAGCAAAAAAGAAACCTTTGCTCGGTCCTCATCACCTAAAGCAATGCTGCCCACAGGTGTGATAAAACATGATGCACTCTGCAGAGATAATTTATGATTTCCACGTGTGACCACCATTCTGAAAATGAGTAGTCGATAGTTACCTGCTGCACCGTGAGCCTTCCAAGCCGGCGTGTGTTTCACGCCTACAGCGCATACTAGCCGCACGGCGAGTGCTCAGCAGCCCCGAGTGGTTCATGGCAACCATACTGGACGGCTCAGCCCTAGAGGGCCAGGCTCAAACTGCGTGGGACAGCCGCTGGTATTACGGCCCTGTCTCCCTTTCTGGACACTTCCACACACCCACCCCCACAGCCACACCAGGCTGCTCCCAGATCCGGACTCCATTCTCTTGCAACTGTCGGCTTCCCTGTTCTTCCTCCTGGGTTCTCTGTCCCTTCTTTCTGCCCATCAGGGCCAAGATCGGACTTAACTTTTAATAACTTTTGGTGGAATTGACCGTGCTCACACCCACCTCCCCCGCCCCTCTGGGCACAAATCCCAGCCCTCTCAGTTATGAACTGTGTGACTTTGGGATCCACATCTGTAAAATGGGCAAGATCTTGTGTCATTGTTGTGAGTCGACATGTTAAGTTCTCTAAAGAGGGCTGGTACATACTAAGGGGTCTACAAAGCTTGCTGCTATTATTGTCATTGTCATCATCATCATCATTTTTGCATGTCTTGTAACATGACAGGTCTCTGGATCAGCAAATAGGTGTCACCTTGTTTGCCAGCTCCTGGGTAGTAGTGAGGCCCTGGGGGCTGCACTGAGAAGTCTTCTCTGGCCTCATCCCTCATTCCCGCTTGGCCGTGCCCATGGGCTGGACGGGTGGAGGCACATGAACAGCGTATTTGCCAACCCTACTAGACCTTGGGATGCTGAAAGGATCTTTCTTTTTTTTTTTTTTTGAGACAGAGTCTCACTCTGTTGCCTGGGCTAGAGTGCCGTGGCGTCAGCCTAGCTCACAGCAACCTCAAACTCCTGGGCTCAAGCGATCCTCCTGCCTCAGCCTCCCAAGTAGCTGGGACTATAGGCATGCGCCACCCTGCCCGGCTAATTTTTTCTATATATTTTTAGTTGTCCAAGTAATTTCTTTCTATTTTTTAGTAGAGACGGGGTCTCGCTCTTGCTCGGGCTGATCTCGAACTCCTGAGCTCAAATGATCCACCGCCTCAGCCTCTCAGAGTGTTAGGATTACAGGCATGAGCCACCATGCCCAACCTGAAAGGATCTTTCTAGCAAGCCTTGTTCACATCTGTACCCCACTGCCTGATGTGCGGCAGGTGCTCAGGACACCTTAGCACAGAGAAGACATGGGGACTTGGCCCTTGAACCTTATCCTGTCAGTGATCCCTTGGGAGCAAAGTGGTCCTGGCAGCACAGCAGCCATGGGATTCCTTCCGGGAGTCTCTGTGCTGGAATTGAAAAGCACAGGAATGCCACCCAGGCGTGGCCCCAGGCGGAAGACTGCGGCTCACCTGTTTCCTACACCGTCGTAAACCCAGTGAGTGGCGCCGATGCCCTCATAGTCCGATGCCCAGTAATAGAGACAGGAATTCAGATGCAGGCTGTAGAGGAGGTAGGCCGTGGTCCTGATGACCCTGTAGAAGAAGGGAGACCCATGAACACAGTGGCAGAGAGGGTGGCGGTGACATCTCGCTCAAGGGCCAGGACTACAAGGAATGAGCCAATCATCACTTCCCCCAGATCTCTGAGGTCCCCCCATTGGGGCCTGCATTGTCCTGCCCGGCCACCTGGAGGGATACACACCCAGCCAGTGAGAATCAACTAGTAACTGGGCTGGCCCAACTGGATGCATTTTTGGGACTGTGTCGATTAGGAATGGTGGCACTTAAATGGAACATTGTCAAGGCTTGGGCTAGACTTGGCGCGGGGTATCAGGGCTACCTGCACAGACAGGTTCTGGGGGTGCGGAGGGGCCAGAGGAGAAACATATCCACGGGGAGGAGTAAGGAGGAGACAGAGAGGTGCGGAGAAAGGAAGACAGAGGCTGTGCCCCCCGCCCCATGAGAGATGCGGACAGGAGCCTCGTGCCCCAAGCGCAGCCTGGCTGGTCTTGTGCCCCATCCTTGGTCGTCTGTGACACAGCCCACTGTGACCTTACAGCTACTTCTGTTCTGCTAGAGCTGGTTGGAGGCTTTAGTTCCCTAAGCTGAGACCAAAATGAGCATTCTGCTGGCAATGCTGGGAGCCCCTCACGCCAGCCTACGTGTGCCCTCATCACGATGCAGGGACAGGATATTCTTGGTTCGGAGAAGAGGAGGCTGGGCCAGGAAGAGCCCGGCTTCTGGTGGCAACAAGGCCTGGAGGGCTGGGGGCACCTGAGAGGGGAAGCAACGGGGGGGGAGAGAATGCCGTGCTCCCTCTGTTCTCGCCACAAACGTCCTGCGTCCTGTGTGTGTGTGTGTGTGTGTGTGTGTGTGTGTGTGTGTGTGTATGTGTGTGTGTGTGTGCATGGGGCGGGGGTCTCACCTGTAAACGTAGGCTTTGCTGAGGACGGATTCCAGGCGGTTGTTGAACTCGAAGAAGGCCATGTACTGCGAGAAGAGTGAGGTATATCAGAGCAGCCCCCGCCCCACGGGCACCAGGACCGAGGGCCCTTTCTGCAGCCCCAGGAGGAGGGGACGGGACAGTGAGTATTCAGACTCAGAGGTCTTCAGCCCCTGAGAGATGGAGGCTAGAAACTCCATTCAGGAATCTGATGAAAGCCATGGCCCACCAGAATCACGTTCTCATAATTTGCATATAATTTCAGGGGACACCGGGACCTGCCGAATCCTGCCATGAAACTTTCAGGGATGCATGTGTCCCAGGTTAAGGATGCTGTTTGGATGTTTACTTATGAAGAAAACTATTTGTAAAGAAACAGCATCCTGGCCGGGCGCAGTGGCTCACACCTGTAATCCTAGCTCTCTGGGAGGCCGAGGCGGGCGGATTGTTTGAGCTCAGGAGTTCGAGACCAGCCTGAG